GCCAAAATCGAGTCGTAGAAAATCTGAGACAATAATTCTAATCGCGATCCTATAGCAGGAAAACGCAATCTTCGCAATATAGCGGAAATTAAATTGAAACTTCCGGAGCTGAACTCGTAGTGTTAACTTTGGGGTCGGAATGTTTTCTATTAGTTCCTTTAGGCAAACACAACCGCCAGACAAAGTCGAAGGTAAATTAAGGTAAGCACGTAAGATGTTGGCAAATATAGTTAATGTTGTGTATATCGTAATTTATAACAGTCCGGCGGTATTAGTTTACCGAACGCTTAATGAAATGAGCAACCCACGAAAGTTTCTACGGAACAAAATGAATCTTTTTCCGCTGGAAAGGTTATTTGCAGGTGAACCAACAGTGAAACGAATACAAACTCAATCGATTATTTTACATTCTACAGATAATGATTTTTTCTGCGTTTCGCTTTGCCACCATTGTTATTAACTCCAACCCTAAATTCAAAGCACTGTGCCGAAATACCGAAACGTTAAAAGTTGTCCGCCGGAAAGTTATTAAAAAAGTCGTAAACTTAAATAAGCTTAAATTAAACGAGCTTTCCAAGATAGCATGGAATATAAACACGTTATCTTGAAGTTAACGCTGCAGCGTCGTGATTGCCGCTTTGAAAACTTTATTAGCAATAAACTAATTAGAAGAATTAAGCATCGTATCGAATAAAACACGCAGCAGGACGGGGGAATTCGTTGAGACTATGGAGGGCTAAAACAAGGAGAGAAATCGTCAATGTTGACAAACTGATCGGAAAGTCGACTTGTAAATCAGATTTGAACGCCTCATATATAAAATGTTGTAACAAAATTACTCTTTCTTAACTAAATGATTTTTTAAAATAAATCTTTTTCCCGGAACTATCAATTAATTGTGGCTTTAAGAATTTGGTCAAATCGTCCTTTCGCAATATCGTAAAAAAAATTGAAGAAACTGAAGCGTGTACACAGGCGTGTAGTATGTTAGTCTCAAAATATGAGTAAATATTGCCGAATACCCCCAAAATATTCGTTCGGAGGCATTCGGAGCTTTTAAGCCCACATAAAAGTCAGCTCACGCAAGAACTGAAGGCTTCGATTGCCATGGATATTAGATCAGCAGGAAGTTGATGCTAATTTTTCTTCTTTGACGAGGCAATTTCTCATTTCTAGAGATATGTTAATAATCAAAATAACAACACAAGAAAAGATCGAAATTCTCATGAGATGAGAATATAACAATTTGGTGCACATCCTTCTTTTCAAGAAGACATTAACAGAATCATAAAACAAATTCAATGTAATGCTGCCGGATGTGATAATGTTGCTCTACTTATGATTAGACTGGGTCTCCCGGTCATACTGAATCACATTACTCATATCATAAATGTTTGTATAGAGACTGGGTACTTTGCATCCATATCAAAAACAGTCACAGTTCTCCCATTTCCGAAGGTTGCTTCTTCATCCAGCGTCAATGATCATAGAATAATCAGCCCATTACCTGTGTTTAGCAAGGTGTTGGAGAAAGTTGTTTATCAGGAAGTACTTTCGTATACAACTAGTCACAATATAATTCCATCAAACCAGTCAGGTTTTCGTCCAAAACGCTTACTGCTTTACCGCATATCAATGATCTAATAATAAAAAACTTAGATAAAAATATTTCAATGATACTGGTCTTGACTTTTCAAAGGAATTCTATTGGGTAAATCGTGCGTTATTGTGCGCTAAACTAAAGCACTTAGGTTTCACGGATCGATTTGTATCTTTTTTCAAGTCGTATCTAAATAATACGTAGCGGTTCGTTAGTACTAATATCGGTATATCAGATTTGGGTAACGTTACTTCGGGAGTGCCACAGGGTTCAATTGTTGGACCTCTGTTATATCTCTTGTATACATTTGATATGTCTAAGGAATTTTCTTAAATTCATTCATATGCTGATGACACCGGGCTGTTACACACATTTAAAGCAGCTAAGTATGATAACGTCGAAGCTATTCTTAATTTGTATCTTAAAAGACTTTTTCAGTATAGTAAAAACAAAATGTTAACCTAAATTCAAAAAAAATCACAAATTATGCTATTTGCTCCCCCTAGAAGGTATAATTTTTTGCGTGATCATGTTAAAATTCAATTGGAAAATGAAAATCTTAAATTTACAAATGACGCAAAAAACGTAGGAGTAATAATGAATGGTCAATTGGGATATAGCTGCCACATTTATAATTTATGCAAAAAGACATATATTCCACAAAATGTTAAATGCAAATAAACACACACAGTTTCAGTCAAGCTCTGAAGAAGCCAACAGGATGATTGGGGAAACGTCAGCAATTTCGACTAAGCAAAAACCGAAGCAGGAGGAATCCAGAAGTTTTGTAAAAATCAAATAAACATATGTTGAATTTTAAAGTACGAAAAAAACTCTCTGAGGCATGTATCCTTTCTAAAGATATATACTGTCTCTAATTATACTATCCATTCTTAACCGTTGCTGATAAATCCAGATTACAAAAAATCCAGAACAGCTGTGCCCGATTCGTTTATGGTTTGAGAAAGTTTGATCGTATATCAGAGAAAATATTTGCGATGAAATGGGTTAAAATTAAATTTCGGTTTCAATTTTTACTCCCAATTGTTGTATTTAACGTCATGAAATGTTCATTACCAACGTATCTGAAAGATACTTTTTATAAAACTTCTGGATTCGTCCCGCGTAGGGTTTTTGTTAACTCGAACTAGCTCACGTTTCATCCTGTTTACTTTTTCAGAGCTTGACTGAAATTTTATACAAAGTTTTATAAAAAGTATTACAGTAGCCTGTGGAAGCTTCTTTGAAAATTTGTTTGAAAGATTATCTAGTGTTTTAGCTATAGTATATAATATTTTGAATCCAGCTCAGTTCATAGTATTTAGGAAGAAATATAAGGTCCATTAATGGGAATTACAAAAGTGTTTGTCCTAAACAAATTAGTATTTTACCAATAATGAATTTTTAGACTCTTATTATTATTAGATCTTATTGTTTTATTATAATTGTAAATAATAGGTGAATGTTGAGTAGCTGAGATTAAGGTATTAAGCTACACTTCGCCGTTTGAGATGTGTAACTACATTAGTTTGTATTAAGTAATTTTGTCTAAGCCTTGCAATAATTTAAAATATCTCCCGGAGAATTTCTGACAATAAATCCACCAAAAATGTGGCTACAACGAAGCGGCCAAACTTGCCACACGGCGACTATAACAGTGAGCAAGGTCTTGCTCAGGTCCCATTATCTCACGTTTTGATGACCCAGAACGCCCCCGGACTTCTTTTTATACAATTACATTCAATATCGCGACCATACCCACAAATCTGGAAAATTTGGAACACCTAAAAACCAATATTCGTCAAATTGCGGTTGACAAACAAAAATAACTATATTTCCCGACTGCAGTTTCGGTCACGAGAAGTATTCGCTCACTTATAGATTACGCTTATAACGAGTTCTGATGCAAACAATTATTCCTTGACGATCCGCGGGAAAGTTCGATATATCACTAAGTATCGATTTGGCTGTCCCATACGTGTCGAATACCTTTATGTTAATTTCCTGTTTTGCGATATCATTTCCCGAATGCATACCGTCAACATAATGTCCAAATTCAATTGGTTCCATTCGGGGGAGCGTTCCTTCATTTCCGTTTGGATTTCACACACCTACTTAACATAAAAAGGGCTGTTGATAACTCACTAATACCGAACAATAGACGAAATTAAATTTTGGGAATATGCCGAGATTTTTGAATACTGAGCCTGCTATACACATCCAACAAAAACTCTCGTGATGGAATGTTTAAGGGTCCGAAAATTCTATTCCAATTCATGTGGTCACGTGACTCCGATGATATCCAAAGGCCCGTAATATTCAGCCAACAGAATCACTTTAAAACATTTATTTACTTCAATTAAATAATTTAAAGCACAAACCAGTTTTCCCAAAGTAAAAAATACTTTAAAATGTCAAAAATTCCGCCTATGAATTTCAACCTATGTGAAATGAGATAGATCTTGGGCATGTTTTATGACATTAATATTATGTTTTATACGATTTTTAAGCGTGATTAAATAGTTTGCTGTGTGAAAATATTATATTATGCAATAAGTGCGGTAAACGGCATTTGACTTACGAGTTTTTAATAAACGAGTGAGTTAAAAAGTTTACCGAACGTGTTGCATATTATACTTTTTCTACCACCGTTAGTTTTTGGGTACATTTTCGCGAAACAACAGGAATACATTCACTGGCATGACCGTCAAAATTCAAAGCGTGGGAAATATCTCCGAAAACATCCGACTGCTGCCAAATCCATGCGGTAAAATCCCGGAAATGTCCGAAGTGGCTCGGATCGGACGTGGTAAAGCGACGCTTCCCGCATGCTAGATCGGTGGGTCACTAGGTATTTTACAGACGAAAGTAGAAAATAGTATATTATGTAACAAGTGCGGTAAACGTCATTTAACTCACGAGTTTATTTCACACGAGCGGATCATAACCACAGTTTTTGCATGTAAGCAGGTAAGACATTCCACACCTGGAAATAGCAATACATACAAAACTATAATGTGAAAACTCATTTCCATTTATAATAATAATAACAATAATAATAATAATTATTATTATTATTATTATTATTATCATTATTATTATTATCATTATTATTATTAGTATTATTACCGATTTTGATATAATATTGTGATTGTGATTTTCAATTGATCGGTTGGTAAGATTGGTTGCTCGCGTTTAAGCAATTTATCAACAGACAAGGCTAATTTGGATATAATGCTACTCTTTCACAATGTTCTAGATTAGATCATTAGTTTATTAATTAATAGATGTTAGTGTCTTTTGGAAGTATATGTTGAGATTAGTGTGTGACAATGGAGAATTAGATGATGGGGAACAAATAAAACGTAGGCAAACAGACGAGAATAAAAAAGCCTCTGTCATAGGAATTTTATTATTACATTTTAAGCCGTTTTTTTTTTGTATAAAACTGAACTACTAACGTAGAACTACGGAAATATTGAAGGATAGGTAAAGCGAGCAACACGCTCATATTATAAATTATCTATTAATACGCGTACTTGCTAAAAATTAAGACATGTATACAACTATTTGCATTAAGTATCCTTTTTAACACTTGTATAACATACATTTCATCATACAACAACCATGACTAGCCTATAATAAATAGTTTAATAAATAATATGGAAAGATCTTCGAGGTGAGCGAACAGTCCATATCTGCAAGAAAAAATACTGTAATTATCAATAAACTCACATACAGCTGCCTAAATCCGAACCTCAATTTCTCAACATAATTTTAAATATTAAGACGAATGCCGCCAATTACTTCGTTATATTTAATTTGTCCTTTTGTTGATCACCGTTCCGCGAAATAAAGTTTAGTAATATTTAACAGGATGGAGTTTCCAATTTTATATTTCCTTTTGCGTGCCGGTTTTTATCAAAATGCTTTAAACCCGTCCGCTTCGCGTGGTTAGTTTTATTGCGTCATAAATCGATGATCGCTAACACCGGATGATTACGTAAAAACATAACTTTCTATAGACATGTAATTTTACAGGCGTCGGCAAATATAACTGCAATTTATATGCACTGAATGGCGCTCACTAACACAGGGCTAAATTTTAATGTCCGTGGGTCTTAAATTAACATTTAATTTGAGTTTGGAGGGACAAATTCCCAATCCCGGTTCATATGTCAAGATCCATCTTCAGATTGACAAATTATCAAAGTAAAAGACGAATAATATAATAAATTTGCAAAACCACGAGCAAAACAGAATAAAAAAATAAACTCTCCGGCCATGTTCTGGGAATATGTCCAAAGTTACCAAAAATTACTAAATAGCAACACTGTTAGTTTCTTTCTTTTCCTCCTCTCTTTAAAGGTGCGAAGAAAAAGTTTTTGGACAAGCCTCGTCGACTATAATTAAAAGTTTATTGAGTCCAAACTATACACAGATTGTAGCTTCAATATAGTAAGTATGTATTCAAGATAAGAATTTATAGGTTGCACCAAATTAGGCACTTTTAAAGTGCAACTCGCGTTAGTAAAAACCATTTCGAAGTTATACTTTTTTTTTTCAAAATTGTGTGTCGGCTATCTGCTTTACAAAGTGTCCAATTTGGCCCACTCTGTACAGCGTTAAATATAGGTCGTTTAAATTTTGGAAAAATTGAGCATATGAAGTAAAAAGTGGAAACTATTCGAAAAAAAAAACAATTTGCCCTAATATCGTTTCAATATTTAAAACGACCCCGTATCTTTCACCAATTTCGAGATGAGCATGCAGCGTATCCTTATCTTGGACACACTGTATATGACGCCGCATTGTCTCGTCCGGCATACTGAGCGCCAACTAGTCTAGTTACATCAGATAAGCAAATAACAAAGAGAGGTTTCTTCAATGTCGACTGGTATCGTGTTAATTTATAATTACCATACAAGGGGACACGAAATTTTTGAAAACCCCTCGCGCAAATGGAAATAATCAAATATTGCCTCTTTTAGCATTTATGCTATACGAAATAATTAATACTACCTATTAGAGACTCGATTGTTTCAATGAGTTAATCTATATAAGTTACCTACTCGGTACTAAGCTTTCAGAGTGAACACTCACCTGTTATCAGAATATCTCCCTGCACGTACCGTTCACCAACTCAAAACCATATATACAGGGCGTCGTACTTTTCACGGGCGGAGGCGGAGTAGCTACGTTGATGCTGGCGTCGTTGGTGGGAAATGTCAAAACTGGATGCGCTGTCAGCGCCAAAAAAATGCAAAGGCCAAGGAAACACATCACCAAAGCGTTTATTATCGAAGGCATGACGACGACCGACTGCTAACTTGTCGTCTTGACGGACTGAAGGGACATACAAAAGATACAATGCTAAATAAATAAATTCTAGTCAATCAAAGCAAAGAACGGTTATCCAAGGGTCAGAAGGTCATGTGCCGCGTTTATTATCTCGACTACGCTACTCTACACAAGTGTTTTCGAACGGACGACATCACGATCCCCTATCGTTTGTTTTATCGTTATCGGAATGTGTGGTCGCCATTCATACGTATAGATGTAAGCTTAACGTGGCGACTGCTAATCTGTTAAAATAGAAATCGTCATATGAAACTGAAATTTATCTTTAATTTGGTTTAAGCCTAAAAAAATTGTCGGAGAAATTCTTCACTCCGCGATTCTGTCTAAATTGACAATTCAATATTGATTTTGGTGATTTTAACGTCAATCATATTTTAAATATTTTATTGCATTGCATTGCTTATAATAAAATATAATTTTGTTACAAAAGAGTTACATGCTAAAAGTAACTTTTAAGTTTTATGGAATGGAGTTGAGCCATAAACAATAAATAGCAAGGAATGCATACCTGCGCAGAATTGATGTCAATTTTAATTTAGGTTATACGTTTTTTATTTTGATTATTAACATATTGTTTTATTTTATTTAATTTTTTTCAGTAGGTGTTCTGTTAGAATTGACCGTATCGTTAAGTATGCATTACCTATTAGAGATTTTTGTTATAGCAATACTTGTATTTCCTTACAAACAATTAATAAAATGAATAAATACCAAGAATGAATAAGTAATAAACCAAACCTTTGGGGGCCAATTCACACCCTTTAAATGACTAAATTGTTTATTTATCATTTATTTTTTTATTACAAATCAGGGTTCAAAATAGCATCCTCTACTGACAATAAGACTAAAAATTGCTACAACACATCTGAAATAATTGTAATTAACTTTTGAACAGAAACGTGAAAGAAAAGCAACCCGTTTGAGACACAAGTTTGGTTTGTCACGATCGCGGCGAGAGTTTAATAAACGAATTTCTGAAGAAGTTTATCAACATGATTCATACTATATTTTTTTTACGATCATCAGCAGGAATACATTTATTAAGTGACATGTAACGTGATGTAAAAACGTAACGTAAAAAATTAACGATAACCAACATGATCTGATAACGTTTTGACCTGTCCCCGTATACCGAGACTGACATAAAATTATACGTTAAAAATTATATAAGGAAAGAATGTGACATTTCTACAAATTGGGCAGTTGTAGGGTGATTTCAAGATACATGTATTGATAATCTCTTGTGATATGCAAAAGATACAAAAGCTTTGATGGATGTATTTAATTTTTTAATTTATGATATCTGAGTTATAACTCAAACATATCGTTTTCTAAGTGGTTCATTTTGAATTTTTTCATTTTGCAACTAAACGGTGCCAATTTTTCTCTTTTCGATAATAATGATAATAATAATAATAATAATAATAATAATAATAATAATCATAAACTGTCTTTTTTGAAAATCGAAATATTACAATACAAGAGTGGCGACATTCGCAATTTGCGCTCTTCCATGTAACCACAAGAACAACAGCACCAACAACATAATTGTCAACAAAATACACACCAGTATATTGGCTTTTGTTTAGTATAAGTCATATAGCTATTAAATAACATAGCGCCATAAATACCGTAAAATTGACCTCAATTTTACACACTACCCTGCAGTTTGTGCCATTTTATTTCTACACATTTTAATCGTTTCTCTGAAAATGTAGCAAACTGAAAACTGTGGAATTAAAGAACTGTCAACGGTCATGTTGATTGTTGAGCACTATAATTGGTTGGTTAGTTCATATTGACTTCGGTAAAATTTGATATCTACATATACAAAGGTTAATACAACATTGGACTAAACCTAATTTTAAAATCAGTTTGTTAATAAAAAATACAATAACTTTTCAATGCACATGTCAAAATCATTAAAAAATGATTTAGTAGAAGAAATATAGTTTAATGTAATTAGCAAAGAATATATTGTAAATTTGTTGGGGATATTCCAGTCTACTTAAAAAAAGTGCCTTAAAAATATGAAAATAATTTGGTAAGTAGAATAACAACGACATTAATAAAAAATTGTAAAAAATCGAATATGTTATATAGCTCGAAAACATAAGACGATTCCGGTTTTCACCCTTAAAAAAGCGATCGAGAATGTGCCATCGATTTTTCCATACCTCTTATACTTACCAAGGTCTCCTACCGAAGCATACAAAATTGACCACTCTGTACATGCAATAACTTAACAACAAATTTTCCACAGATGAATTATTGCAATAACCTGCTATACTCTCAACGCCAAACCGATTTGATTTTAAGTTCAATATGATAATAAATCAGAAATGGTGTTGTTTTTCATCATCACATTTCCGATATACACCAGTTTTTAGTTCGTTACGGCAATATTTATCGCCTTAAGTTTAACGACACTCAGCGATGGTTCTGGAAAAATTTACAAGTTGGTAAACTACAATAAACTTGTTATTAATTTAAGTACGAAAAAGAAATACTGCGTTTCTTCCGATATCGAAAATTCCACATTAAATCATGCAATTATCTCAGCGTTGACAGTTTGACCTTCGCCGCCATTTCATCTCTAACATTTTTTATCGCTTACACATTTGCCTTAGTTACATTGCGAATATTTCCACTGCCATCGACAATTATGTAAAACAAGCAAACAATTATGTGACTTTTTGTTTCCACCCAAAAAAATAAATGACGCGGACACACCGGTAGCAGAGGCACAACAAACTGAGGTCACGCGGGAGTCCAAATGGTGTGTGAAAGTAATATATTTCCTTTATTATTTGTTTAACAAGAAAATGTTAAATACAAAAGACGAGACTAAAAGAAACAATATAAAATGATTTTTTAATATACAGGGTGAATAATAAAAATGTGTGAATATTTTTAAATGGAACATCGTGTATATTTGTGATATTTATAGATACTCCCTTTTATACTCAATAACTTAATGTATTGTTGTTATGGTGTATCCTGAGTGTCTTCGGATTTATACCCATTTTTTGTCAAAAATGCCCTGTGTTTAATACTCTATATTTTTGACGCCGTTTCGGACGGCTGATATTTTATTATGCAAACAATTTTATAAAGTGGTACAGTCATTTATCATTGACTTGATTTTAGTTCGAATCGTTTATACAGGGTGAGTCAAAATGGAAAATATAAATTTTCGTGAAAAAATCAAATGGAAGACCCTGTGTATTGTACTTCCGTAATTAATTTTTCAAAATACATTCTATGTGATTTAAAGAGCCAGTTTGTGTATGATTTACTTTCGACTTTTTCCATTGCAAAAAAAAAATTAAAAATCGTCATATTTTTCCGCAGTAAATACCAAAATTTGACTTTAATTTTATGTAAAAAATATTGCACTTCAATGACAAAAATTGACGACACTAATTGACGTAAAAAAGACGTCATATATAACGTCATCTCCGTCATTTGGTGACTAATTAATGACGTCATTTTGACGACCCTCTGTTAGATGGGCAGTCATAAAGCACATATACATAGGTATTTCAGTTTTGTCGAAATTTAAATGCTAAACGGCATACGTTCTCGAACGTTCGGATTTAATCAAATTCAAAATAACGGTAGTCGACTTTTCTTTTCCTATTACATGCAGATTTTGCCATTGTATTATACAGGGTGCTTCAAAAAAATGTATACACGCTTTAAACTATTGTAGTTTTCCCGTTCTACAAGGCTAATGTTATATTTCTTTGCCAGGTGCCAGCATAATCGTCCCTCTATGTTATATTATCAGTTGGAATTTGTAATATCAACATGGGGAACGTACGTTTGAGTTTTGAAGAACGTAAGCAGGTTATTAAGTGGTACTGGAAGTTTGAGAATGTAAATGAAGTTCAAAGACAGTGGAGAAGGGAGTATGATACAGAACCACCTTCAAGATTAACAATTACACGCATACGAGACAAATTCGAAGTTCGTGGAACAGTGTGTAATGTGCATAAAGGTCATTCAGGTCGGCCTCGAACAGCTACAAGTGATGAGTCATCAACGGCAGTCTTGGAACTGTTTCAACGCTCTCCTAACAAATCTTCAAGGCAAGGGGCACGTGAAAGTGATGTAAGTGCTAGCAGCGTGCTACACATTCTGAAGAGAGGCAAGTATCGTGTTTACATTCCAAGGCTGGTGCAACAGCTAAATGACGACGATCCAGATCGAAGGTTGCAATTTTGTGAATGGATTCAGGAGATGGTGATACGTGAACCGGGATTTATGGGTAGCATCATTTGGTCGGATGAAGCCCAATTCAAACTTAATGGAACTGTCAATAGGCACAATTGTGTTTACTGGGGTGAAGAAAATCCTCACATTACAATTGAAAAAGCTGTAAATTTGCCTTGTGTAAATGTGTGGTGCGGTTTGTCTTCAAGGGGACTCATTGGACCTTTTCGATTTGAGGGCACTGTAACTGGTATTAATTACCTAACAATGCTTGCTGATTGCATATTTCCTGCCATTCGTGCATTATACGGTAATGATGATTTTTATTTTCAACAAGATGGTGCTCCGCCGCACTATCACAGGGACGTACGAGCTTACCTGGATCAAAATTTGTCGAGCCGGTGGATAGGACGCAGGAGGCCAATCGAGTTTCCAGCACGCTCTCCAGACCTTACACCACTGGATTTCTTCTTGTGGGGCACAGTAAAAGATGAGGTGTACAAACGTAAACCACGTAACCTAGATAACCTAGACATTCTTTGGAATGAGATTCAAGCAGTGTGTAGAGAAATCTCATTGGACGTTTTGATACGATGTACAGAATCAGTGGTGACTCGTGCTCAGAATTGTATTGATGCTGCAGGTCACCAATTTGAACAGTATTAACATTTGTTATTTATGTTTCATTTACATTGGACTTTCAGCTTTCTATTTTCCTGAAATTTAACTTGGTAGAACGGTAAATAAATTTTCTATGAAAGTTCAAAGTGTGTATACATTTTTTTGAAGCACCCTGTATATTACCTCTACCTATAATATTTCGTCCATGTTTTCCAATTTATGTTGGCTGATATGAAATTTAAACCAGGGATAATTACTTTAAAAAGATATATACCAAAACTTTACAGTTCTTGCATATTGTACAGTGTGTCCTATTTTTGATCGTCTAATGCCATATCTCCCCGCCTGACCCTAGAAATGTCATAGCTATCTTGGTTACAGGATGATTTTGGAAATTCTTCCTTTTTAGACACTGTGCGCAGTTAACTTATTGGATAGTGTTTTTTACGTAGGATCTAGGGGGCAGTCAACTTTCTTCTGAAACTCACAAATCTTAATATAAATTTAAACTAAATTTATTATATATTAATAATTTAATTAGACTTTCAAATACAAAGCATATATCTATAATTTTATTTTTTATACGTAGACTATGGAAAGTACAAATTTTCCTTTACATAAATTACAACATTTATTAATTGCAAAATTTAGTTACCGGTCAAAATAAATTTGTATGTGCAATATTAAATGCTCGTTATATTCAATTTCTCATAGTCGTCTATTTTCGGCTAGTAAATAGTTACAAAATGCCTGAAGAATATTTTTTCATGGCCGAAAAGATATATTGTTTTTGTTTTTTGTAGATATTGTATTTGTTATTTTATGTGGGGATTACATTTAAAAAAATACAATTTTAATATGTATATATCAAAATTTGTGAATTTAAGAGGAAAACTGACTACACCACTCCATACTACGTAAAAATCCCTGTCCCGATCAGTTTTCACCTTTTCGATAAGTTAATGCGTCACCGAACTACAAAGGGTGCCTGTAAATTCAAAATTTTCAAAATCACTCTATACCTAAAAATTCAAGATAGCTTTTTTTTATTTTAGAAAAATGCTTGTGTCACGAAAGCTGGAACACTAATAAGGGAGATACGCCGTAAAACCACCAAAAATGGGAAGCACATAATATTAATTACATATAACAAGTACAATATTCTAATAATAAAGTTTAAAGAGGCCACGCAAGTCAAAATTTTTCACAACAGAATTTTTTTATTTTTTTAAATTTTTTAGGATAATATATCGAAAATTCAATTTTTTTGTTAGTATTTGTTAGTATTTCACTTGTGTTATTCAATCATCTATGATTTGGGTTTTCATTTGTTATCTCGTTTACACTACAAAAATTCTTAGCTGCTTAACTCAACAAAACACAATTCTTTTTGTGTTATTTTTGCTCGTATGTCCTAAAATTTTTATCAAAAAAGCATAATTAATTTGGCGACTTATTTTTTTAACACCATTTAAACTTCAGCTTGAACAAACCAAAACGCTACTTACAAACTAAATGGCGATCTTAATCGTATTCGTCGCTGACTTTTCTGCACATCCCTCTCAGCGACAGTTCACCGGGTGGGCAAGGGTACACAAACGTATGATTGCTCTTCCTAAAATTCCTTGGTCTGGGATGGTTGCACTTGACGGCAAAAAGTATGAAAACTAGTCCAATTAGAATCGCATATACCGTGGATATATCCATGCCGGATTAAGGTCTATTCGAAGAAACCAATCGATAATGAGAATTGGTTTACGCCGATAGGAAATTAGGTCAGGTTATAAGTCAACTTATCTTAATTGCAAAAGAGATATGCAAATTTCCTTCTGTGTGAAACACACAAGGCTAAACAAAACACATGGCCCGCAAACGACCGAATCGTTTTGCACATTTCTAGGAATTGATTCTGGAATCGTTTGATATGTGTTGTTGTTATCCTAAGCATAAATATTTTGTACGTTCGAACCGAAAACAGTATGAAATCACCATCGATAAGACAAAACCAATTGCATAGCTAAGCGAACAAAGAAAGAAACACGCTCATTTTAGTTTCGATTATTTGAAACGGGCGATGCCCCCTTATTCAGAGAACTGACAATATCTACCTTTTAGTCAATTGGAAAAAAAAAGTTTTATTAAAATTGCGAACTTTCAGGTGCTGGACACCACATTACACGTACCTGAAGCCAAGGTATGAGAAATCGATTAACTGTTATTGGTTATTGGCAGGACTATAGCCACTATCGGCAAAGTTTTATCAAAGTTTACAGAATGTTACTTTACTGTAGATGGCTGTATTATGAAACGATGGTATTTTATCATTTTTTCGGTAATTTAAGAATACTACAGTTACTTTTAAAAAACATTTAGTCCAGTACGCTTGTGTATACATCTATGCAGTCCCTTTAGTAAGTCTAATATATTCGTTATGGAAGAAACAAAATTCTTGACCTCTAAGACATATTATTTAGTAAATTTAACTAATTAGTGTAGAGGAAAATGTTGGGCAAACAGTGAGTTTGTTTAATATATATATATATATATATATATATATATATATATATATATATATATATATATATATATATATATATATATATATATATATATATATATATATATATATATATATATATATATATATATATATATATATCTCCCTCTAAGTCCCATTTGTTGAATCTTATCGATAAGCAAACCATGATCGACAACATCGAAGGCTTTTCTTAAATCCACGAACAAAACCAAAATCACCCTTCAAGACCATTTGATATGAAGTTCGGTAAGCCTATAGTGACATTTAGTGTACCACTATTAGATGTAAATCCGAACTGAAAAGGGTTAAAAGTAACGTGCCTCTTTAGAAAACACGTCACTCTATCCTTCAAAAGAGTTTCGATTATTTTTGAAAAAGTACTTATGAGTAATATTGGCCCGTAGTTGCTCCTTGACATGCACGACCACGACATATATCTGTATACATCGGGCATACTTTAATCATTTTTAGTTCCTCTTATTTATGAATAACACCAAGATAGGTACAATGTATTGATTCAGGTTGACAGGATACTGATATGTAACACCATTGTCCCGATACGGCATTTTTCTTAAGGATTTTAAATACCATTAATATCGGTTTCCTAGTTGGTTCCAAAAATATATTATTTTTACATCACACTGCGTTAAACGTAACCTAATAATACATAATATAAAACCTAAATCTATATCTGTAAATTATTTATTTAATGTATCTGCAAAGAGATTTTCATTACTTGTTATTACGTTACTGTTTGTTTTAACTTTTTTATACATTTTTTGGTTGATTTGGTCGATTCTTCAAATCGTTATTTGGATTATTTTTGTAGTGTTTATATGCAATATCTCTTTGTTTTAATAATTGAATTAGATCTGGTATAGCCCAGTTGTTATTCTGGTGACACTTAACTTTTGTGATTAATTTTGATTCATGTTTTGCCTTCATGATTATATCAATATTAAAATAATATACCCTTTTTATAGCCCGTCCTTAAAAATACGATCATCTTCGAATCTTTCAATCATTTGAATTTGTGTCCGAAGGCAAGTCAAACAAGAGTCGAATGAAAATGGCTTACTAATGTTTGGTTTTCTTTGACCAAAGAGTGATTCTGTAACTTTGCTTTTATAATACCCAATATTAATTGCAAATTATTTGTATACGCCTCCTATCTGCGGATTTATGGAGAGTGAGGCGACTGACACAAACTTTGGTTAGTTTTAGTTAGTTTCTCACGTCTTAACTCTTAGGAGAGATCGGTATGGGGGATTTTTTTAAACGCCTTCATTAGAAAGATCGTTTGATATTGAAATAAAAGCGAATTAGTATGTACATTTTTAAAAAGTGGGAAGCCAATCGTTGTTTACTATAAAGTGAGCAACATTGGCTACTTCCACTAGTGCAAAAATGCAAGTTTTTCTGGAGGATATAACACATTGAAAAAGGACGGGTTTATTTAGATTGGATTTGGTTGGAAAATTGGTATGCTACACAAAAAATACAATAAGAACAGATGCAATAATAATAAACGCAATTAACAACAGTTTTCGATCAAATCAAAACAATGGAGTTGCCAAATCAATTTACCCAGATAAGCGGCATTTTTTTATCAGCGATTTAAAAACAAAAACGAACATCTGCTGCTTTCAAATCACAGTTTAAGAATTCTACTAATGATGTGATGCAATTCATCTTGGAATCGGTTTTGTTGGCGATATTAGTATAATCATAGCAGTGATGTAATCCTTTTCTGACGATCGACTAGCGCGCATTAAAAACAATGTAAAATAATCAATAACATATTCGTTCGTGCTTTGAAATGAAATAAATATTGTAGAATAATGCGTATCAACTGAGCACATTTGGGAGAATCACGCATAGAACAATGCCTCTAAAGAATCACCTAAATTATCTAAGTACGAGGATCAATTGAAGTCACCGACCCAGTCTAAAACACAAAAGGGTATCGCGTAACCAACAATTTTATTATTGTACCTAAGCACCGTTAAATTCAATGCAATACTGGTTACACATTCATTGATGAAAAAGGACTTATGTAGATATCACTTTGGGGTATACGAGGTGACAAACCGCCACTCATTAAAAGATACAAAATAAAATGCAATTTGAATCTATGAACTACTGATGAAACTGTAATTCACAAACCTCGGAACTAGCGACTTTCTTAATGGTATATTTGATTCAAGGAAGTTGTCGTAAACACAAAAACAACCAAGTTAAGAAAAACTGATGCGAAGTGTTCGGTCAATACACATAAATCATGGATGTGCGGAAATATCACGGGCACGGGTCTTAGAGTGGATAGCACCTTACAAGAAGTGTTACCGGTTTGTTCTAGCTTCAACTAGGAACAAATTCGATTCCCTACCGGCTTTCTACGAAGCTAACGCGCGTGGTATTATTTAAATTTCGTCTGAAAGTAATTGCACCGGTAATTGACAACATCGGTCTCATTATAGACAATAACGCCTGTTAAAGCGAAGATGGAAATTCCCCGTCATGTGGCGGAGCAACCAGCCACTTTATTATATCAATTCTTAACGTAATCAGTTTAATCGTAATATGATTTATGAAGCGCTGGCACTTTTGTCTTGTCGATTTTATTTACTGTCAAAATAACAATAACTGTGATTCGTACTTTGATTCGGAGATGTAGAAAATTTTCAGTATAATTGACCAAACAACATCTTTAGCCAAGCCACTGTGAAAAGTTATGTGTTTTACCATGACGCGAAGCGGGCGTTGCCAAGAGACGATGTAAATATTGGTCACTTTTCAATATTCCCATGGGAGCGGTCGGTGAAACATCGCGGTAAAAAACATGCCCATCTGAGCGATTCCTTATTCAAAGGGCATTCCGAATTCCATGTTTCTTTATCAATCGGTGGTATCAGCTGATTGCTGATCAAATTAACCTAACTTTATTGTTAAATTTCCATGTTTTTATTAAATAATTCATGTTTTTTATAATTTATGATTATGTTTTTATCCTCCGTCAGTATGCTAAAAGCTTCGTGGTAAGAGTTCTTTTCCAATTTAGAAAAGTTATGTAGGATGGGGTAACCAGAACAATAAAATTTGAAGTTGAAATTGTATAATACATATATTTATTTATTTTAATGAGTAATTACTAAGTTTTTTTTTTTGGTCTAAACGAACGGTGAACAGGCCATCAGCGAGGTGACATGGTTCGCATCTGAAACTACAAAAAATATCCTGAGTACCAAAGATTATTAACATTCATGAAGCAAACTTAATATTACTTAATATCACCAGACATCACAGATAACAGATATATCTTGCATAAAATCTGGAACTTAGTTTAGATTGGTACTAAGGGCAGGACACACATAGTACCTATTTCAATTACTAGTGCTGGTTATTCCGATCGTGCAATGGATACTAAGGGCAGACACACACGAAGCATCCTGTCGCAAATAACCACACCGGCAATGACAGTAGCCCCGACTTTCAACAAGCAAAGGAACAACGTTTAAACTAGTTCAAAGAGAGAACACACAAATATTTAACCAAATTCCTTGGGTATATTTTATAAATTAAAATTGAAACCGATCAATAAATAAATCATTTGGTACTTTGGTATTTTGGCTAATAAAACGAAAACATCATGAAATGCAACTACTGTACTCGTGAGTGAGAACACTCACCTTTAAGTCTTCGCAATTTCACGTAACACAAACACAGCCCGCAGCAGGCGAAAGCACGGTTAATCGAGAAATGCCGAAAAGATATTTCTTAAAATGTTACTGCAACCCAAAACTATGTTAATTTTATGATGCCCTTTTACTAATCGATATTCTGACAGGGCGAGGGGCGACAAATACGTTTTTTTTTAAGAAAACATCAAGTGGTTGTTTATTGCGTCGTACGTACAAAAATTTTATAGGGTAGCTTCAAAAAAATATGCGTCTTACAGTTAATATGCACTTTTTTGTGATTGAACTTGTTTTGAGTTTTTAAGTTTAAAAGTCTACAGAATGAATCCTATCTAAGGAGAAAAATTTGCATCGTATCGTACCATTCCGAATAAAGTCTTTAAGTTGACCCAATCACAGAATGTTAATAACTGTAAAAATATTTTTCTAATATTACAAGTAAAAAATACCTATAATTATCATATTTTCTAGTAGCGAAATTACAACA